AAACAATGACTGTGATGAATTTTCGAAGCTTTTGATTTACTGAATTCAGTATTAACTGCACAAAATCAGGAATACTCTGTGGTGAATATTTGTCAAATCTCAAGGTCTTTCCCAGTGTTACATTCTATATAAATTGTGTGAATAACATGTTTCCCCTATTTGGGATGATTTAATTGCATTATCCTTCACCCACCTATACACTTTCATAATTAGTAAACACAAGCTTAATATCCAAACTTCATGCTTCAATGTCTTTAATTGAAAAATGGTCATACTATGTTTAAAGTTGGAATACTGTGACTTATCCTAACATTTCAATGTAAATTCCTACAGTGATATGTTCTCACAAAGTACCTCCCTCTCCAGGAATGGCCCTTGAAGAGGCTCCTCCTTTTATATCTCATCACACAATTGGCTGGCTATTTCTAGACCTTCCTGGTCAAGATAGAGCCCAGGTGGCTGACAGATCATTTTAAACTTAATATAAATTTTATTTTAACAAAAGTTGTCTTGTCACTGAAGTTACAATTTGGATGACATGATAAAGCATAATTGTGATTTCCTCGTGATCAGATTCAAAAGTGATGGGGGAAATTATGCATTTTAAGCACTGAATTTTTTGATCATATAAGATTTCTGGAACTCTAATGTGAAAAAAGAAACAATTTACCAACTTCTCTTTTAAATTGTGATTTCTTCATACATTTGAGAAAAGTTTTTTTCTCAAAATAACTTCAGGTATGAATTCAAGATCATGTTTGAAACCTTCAAACATGAAGGGTTTTTAATATAATGGAAAACACACAAAATAATTAATGTCATCAGCATTATCCACCTTTTCGTGATTTCCCAGTAATCTCTTCTATAAAAGAAAGCCTCATCAGAACTTTAAGATTTTATTTTATTTAGAATTTTTCCTTATGAAAATTGCTAAACACTGAATTGTATTTTTCAAATCCATATAATGATTAACTCATGTCTCACATTTTCCTGAAGGTTCTAAATTTTATTTTAGAATATTTATGATAGTAGAGATTGTCTTCCTTAAAATCAGTGTGTCCAAAATGATCTCTGACAACTTAATACAATGGCAGATCCTCTTAAATTTTAAATAAAAAAACAAACACACAAATAATAATACCAAAACTAAAACTGCAATTCAACACAGAAAACAGACTTTACTGAGAAGTACAGTGTGAATAAAGGGTCACTTCGTGATATACGAGACCATAAACTATTTCTAAGGATAAAACTTATTTCCAGAGAACTCTGAGGTTCTAGGGATTTCAGCGGAGAGCGACAGTGAATTCAAAACGACTAGAAGTGAAGCTAGATTCCACCAATGTTTAAAGTGAAATGATTATAGTTATTAATAGTTTCTGGTAAAATGTAGATTGTTTTGAAACATTCTAAATTATAAGATTAAAGCTATGTATTTACATACTGATGGGCATAAGAATGTTTCTGAAAGGAGATGCATGTCTTTGTGTTTGGAAAAAATATTTTAAAACTATACAATATGAAAATTTTTTGCTTTCTAGATGTTAATGCTCCTGTATTAACATCTAAGAATTGTGGATCATTTTTCCAAAAATGTGATTTAAAGTGGTAGTTTTTCTGCATAAATTCATGATTTAGTATGTATGTTATTAGGTTATAGGAAGGGTAAGACAACTGCTGAAAAGAGCAGTAAAGTTGAAAAATACTAAGATAGTAAATGTTTTCAAAAAGAAAACCAAGATGTGGAAATCAAACAAATAAGAACTTCACAAGTAGAGTCTAGAAATTAGCTCAGAGAAACAAACTGGCATCAACAAAAGGAGCTTTCTGACTAACGTCATCACCAGATAAGGGCTACCAGGGACTGGGATGGGACTGAAAGGAGCACATAGTAGAACCTGAACAGAGAACATGACAACGTTCTGCGTGCTAAGCAGGGCTCTGGGCCATTAGAGCTGTCATTTCACACAGCCTTTCCTTTAAACACAACATCCCGCTCGCCCTACTGCAGGCCTATTCTCCAGAGGGAAGGACTTCCTCCCCACTGCGCCTGTGCCACAGACCCTGCAGGATGGCCTTCGCCCCCTACCCGGCCAGGCTTCCTCAGTGACCTGGGGCTCTAGAAGCAGCACAGGGCACAGACACACGTTCAAGGACCTGCCAGGTCCATGGCACGATGTTGGGCCAGGCGTGCGTTTTTCTCTCCCACAGATGCTGCAGTATTTTCAAAAACAGGGTCAGGCAAGCCCCTCCCTCTCTTCATCTCCTACAAGACCCAGCCTAATGGCCACCAGAGAAGTCCAGCCTCTGCCCCACAGTCATGTCATCAATAACATCTGATTACAGATGTCACAGTTTCAATTTTCTTTGTTTTATGTTAAGGAAGAGAAAGGTCCCATTTTGAAAAAAAAAAAAACACAACAAAAAACAAAAACAAGTGGAGTTGACACAACAGATTGTGACAGATTTATTACTATTTATCATGGTAAATATGTATGAAAGAAAACATAAATGTCTTTATCTAGTCATAACCACTCCAAAGGAAACCTTTTATTAACCGTAATTTTTGTTATTTGTTACAAAAATATTCATATATATTGAAGTTTTAGAGGTGTTTCTTATCAAATAAATATCCATAAGTGTATCTGAGCTTAAAAAAAGAATTAAACATAGCAGAGATCTAAAAATACATAAATATAGATCTACTGGGGCAAAAGTGTTACAGTGTCTACTACAGACCATCTCTTGGGGTCAAAATAAAATATACATTTTGTGTGATGGTAATGCATATAATCAATACATACAACAAAGCTAATATAAACTAAGTTACACTGCTATTTAAACAGAGCTAGATTATTTTTAAAGTAATGACAATAAATAGGTTATTGGGTTCCAAAAATCAACCAAGGTATCTTATTCTTTTTGAATAAAACACAAAGTCAAACACACAAAAAAGGGTAAAATTTCCATTTCAACAGAATTTCCCTCGTCTTTCAAAAAAGGTACCCTATTTACCAAGATGTTCTACAAGGACCATTAAAACGTGTAGCCAAGATACACTTTCTATCAATAGTAATTCCTAAACTGATCATCAAAACCCCAAAATTAAATAATGCAAACTAAATTTCCAATTCCAGATCTATTCAGAAGGAAAATATACTTTAATATTTGTTAATATATCAGCAACACATAAATTGTCTTAATAGCAAAGAAAAATTTGCTATTAAGACAATTTTCTATAGTGGCCAGTTCCCTCCAGGGAAATACTTAAAAATATACAATGAATTATGAGAAATTGTTGTTAACAATGAATAAGCAGATAGATAATTTCTAATGCCACACCAAAGCACCCCTTAGAAACTGCAGATTTCTGCATTATTTTAGCGTTGGGAAAAAACAAACACCTAAATGTATTTGAATATGAGGCATAAATAGGGCATTATAGCTTTAAGTTTTGCTTGGCTTTTATACCACAGAGCTCTTCTATCGTTTCAGAACATTCAAAGGTTCACTTATTGTACTTAATGCTGTCCATATTAGGTTCAGGCATGTTTAAAATGTAAACAGCTGTGAGGACTATATCATTTCAAGTTTTCATAAAAGCTATTAAGAGCTAAAGTTTCATCTACATTAAATCCACCACAAACTTCAAGCTTAAAATATGCTTATAAAAACCTAAGGGGATATTAGTCAATTTCAATACAACATAGAAAAATCAAAGAATAAACACTCAGTACATTTTAAGTGACCTACTGGTAGTCCAAAGTGACTATTTTATATGCATTGGCAGTTTTATTTATACAATATTTTTCTATATTTATGGATACTTTTGTGACACCTCTTCAACATGGCCAAGTCTATGATAATCAGCATACAAAATTTGCTTTTCCCCCCCCCTGGTAAGAGTTATTCTGATATATTCACTTAATAACATTTTAGATGAACTGAACTGAAATCAAGTCAAATACACAGGTGTTTGGGTTAATCTAACAGTGCATTTTCAAAAACTATTATTCTTCTAATTTATTAAAAATAAAATAAATATGCAAGAATTGCTTAGTAATATATTTTCAGAAATATAAATATAATTTATTTTAGAATGTGAGAACTTATAATAGGCCCATTATCATTCTTTTCAAAGAATACTAGTGTCCTACAGAACAAAGATTTAAATTATAATATCTCATGGAAAGGAAAGAAGAATTGGGAGGGGGGATAGAAAGGAAGGAGAAAAAAGAAGAGAAGAACTCATTTTTATTCTATGTGAAGAGGAAATCATTAGAAATAGACCAGTTTTAAATTAAAAAAAACAGGAACTCGAATCTGAAAATACATGTAAGAAATGAAAATAAGATATCACATATTTCTTTGTGATCACAACCACTGTGTGCTATGCTGGGGACTGGAGGGACCTCAGCCACTCCTGCATTTAGCTCGCTATGAGAAAGACCCAGAATGCTTTTGGTTACAGCTGGATTCTTCTTGCTGTCACCTGGTGTTCCAGACACAAATGGCTACCGAAGCAGCTACCTTTGCAGTCTTATTCAGTAACCTCTTTAGAAAATAGAGACATTCTCTCTGCACTCTGGGCTGAAAACCATGTAAATTTTTCCTAAATCCTCTCCACAAATCTCCTTTCGCATGCAAATCCATAAATCATCATAATACTGACAAAGAATTTAACCAACACATGAAACTAATACTCATTCTCTTGAAAGCTCCGCACAGGTAAAACTCCTGGACCTTCAGGCACCTTTTCAAGGCTCCCTTCAGAGCTTCACCTGCTGAATACCCACACAACCACCCAGTCTTGCAGAACATGCCATTAATCACTCCAACGTGGGTCCGGTGGCTGCACGTGCGGGGCATTCCTTCCTCATCCACATTCTAGATAACCTTGCAGCTCTGGTGCATGGAACCTCATTTCCTCCTGTTGCCCTCACATCTCACAAAACAGAATGACATTAACCATATTCAAAGCAGAAACCAGCAGTACTTACTGAAGATGGCAAACCTGGAGGAACTTTCCGAACTTTCTTTGTCTGTACCTCTGAAAGGAAATGAAGAGGCTGTGAGCTCCCCGCAGGCCCAGTTTCCTAACTAAAGCAGCTTAAACCACGAAGCCTTTTAGATTAGACCAGATTTTCTTAAATCGTTACCTTAGCAAAATGTTGCTACCATGACCGCCTTTTATCCTGGCAGAAATCAAATTCTGTCTTTTTCATAAAAGTGCACATATTTAACTTTTTAATACTCTGATTGTTTAAAATGTTTCTCATATGGGCAGCGAAGAGAACATAAGAAGTAAGTGCTCACCATAATAGCTCTTCCTCTACTATAGGTTGTTAACATACCCCACCCAATGCACTACTGAGGGGGAATCATAAGCCTGACAATTGAGCAAAATTTCATGATTTTTTTTCTTTTTGGGGGGATAGGATGAGACAGTGGTATTAAAAAAGAAAGAAAAAGAGACTACTAAGAATCACTCAGGCATTCAAACAGAGGAATACCTTACCCATGGCACTACTGTGAAGAGGCCTCCTTCGGGGGTTATTGCTAGAATACTGATAATACTGGGAACCAGGTTTGGTGGGCGAAAGGGTTCCTGGATTGCCCATATCCATGTCACCTCCAAGGAGACTCTGCTGAAAGGTTAAAAAGGGAAAACAAGCATATAAGGTTAATTTTTCACATTCACCACCCCCCAACTGATTGTTAGTACTTAAATCAATGCAATAAAGAAAACAGCATCTGCTAAGCTGAAACAATTAAAACCCAACAACACAAAAAGGGAAAGAAAGCAGTCTAAGAAGCTAGCACAGAGTCGGTGAATTTTTAATTCCTACTTTGGAAAGGAAGGTAGAAGGTGATTCCCTTCTAAGCAGTATTTTAATCTTTTAAGAGGACTAACATTTTGATTTAAAAGAAAAGGGCACTTATGTAAGACTAATGTTTTCTTTATCTCTACTTAAGCTCACATCTGGGAACTATTCATGCCCTTCCTTAACAAGAACCAAGAAGCATCTGATTTTCCGAACGCACACCACTCCCTGGCTGCTCACGTTGGGGGTGAGTGGAGATAGATGCTAAGTCCACTGAGAACCTTGCCTCTGCGTCGGCACAGCACGATCCTCCACAGATTTACGCAGCACCCACAGAAGAGAAAATGCCAACGATCCGGGTGGAAATTCAAATCCTCACATTAACTTCCAAAATCATAGGAACAGGAGGCTTTCTACGCTAACAGGAACAAATTAAAGAACTTTAGGTGCCCTCTTGAGGACTATCGGAGGTTGAAACACATCCCCACAGATTAAACATTTACCTGAACACGAGAAAACTTTCACAAATATCATTAACTTATCACAGTGTGACAAATTACTAAGCCTTCGAAAATGATGACATATGAAAGATTATATAATATCACATTTTCTAAAAACTACATAGAAACTTACCCATAACATATAAATCGTCTGATTAAGCTCTGCATTGAACACATTGTTCTTTTAATTATTCTGATGTGAAAGAAAACAAGTGTAGATACTACCATTTATATTAAGAACAAATTTACTATTTAATAAAGAAATTTTAAAATTAAGTACTAAAAATCTAACTTTATCGTTACTTGTAATCAACTTTTACTGACTGAACTAATTACTGTCCTTGATAAAGTACAGAATGTGTTTTCCCTAATCTAAATTCTAATCACCATGTCACTCACAACAGACTTAGGGATGCTTCACTAACACACTATTCACATGCAAAATACTCTAAATAGGCCAATTATGACTCTGCCCCTGTTCCCTGGTTAACCCGCTGAGAACTGAAAAATTTCACAAGGCAGTCACCAACTAAAACAAAGGGTCCTTGTTTTAAATTAAGGCAGTCTTTTTGATTCCTAAATAGCTCAACAAAGTGGCATGTCTGCTAGTGAAAGCAGTTGGTCAAATATGACCCATAAGCTGGAAAATCAAAAATTTAAACCTTCCCTTTCCCCTGCCATACAGCAAAATATCATAAAGAGACCCTTCCATTCCCAGGGATTTGTGAGTGCTGGATGAGTAATAGATAAAGGACTAATCAGCTACTGACAAGCTAGCTTTTGCCTGATTCCAGTTTCAGATTTTTGAAGGGATACATAATAAACCTTACTTTGAAATAAAACTTCAAGGGTGAGATTTTTGGTTGGAAGTGCATTTTGAGTAATCAGCTCACTGTAAGTATCTTAATATCTACCGAATAAATAGCCAATAAAAACCAGATTATACACCAGATAAAAATCTGGCATCCACATGCTCAATTACTGTCTCTTCTGAATTTAAGATGTCAAAATGCTATGCAATGACAAACTAAAATACAGAGCTTTTTATAATCAACTTTTCTACAAAATCAGGAATCCAACAGTATATCATCAAATGATTTCTTTGTCATTGTAGGAATGGCATTAAACATTTTTAGAATCTCAATCAAAAATCTTGATCTTGGTAAATCTTATTAACGAAGTCTATATTTAAGTCCAAATGCAAATTTTCTTTGAAATTTTCATTAATAAATCTGCAGATGATTTAAATCACAACCTCTTATAGTTTGGTAAATCTACAAATGAGTCTTTATTTCATTGGAAATAGGAGTTTAAAATTATATTATTGATAAAGTTTTTGTACTTTACTTTTTAATTAAATTTATTGGGTGACATTGGTTAATAACAATATACTTAATATACACTTAGGTTTCAGGTGAATAACTTTATAATAAGACACCTGCATATGCCATGGTGTGCTCAACACCTGAAGTGTCTCCTTCCTTCACCATATATGTGATCCCCTTTACCTTCTCAGTCCTCCCCACTCCCCTTCCCTTCTGGTAACCATGGATTATCCCATTTCTTCATGTTTATTTTTCTAAAATTATACAAAATATTCAGAAAAGTGCTGAGCAGATTTTTTTAAATGCTTGTCTTTTTAATAAGCTTAACTATTGCTTTATTTTGTTGTTACTGGTGGCAAAGGTTTTCACTCCCAAGAAAGTAGATGCATTCAATAAGTCAACATAAAAAGAAAAAAAGAAACTTGCAATACTGTATTTTAGCAGCATTCGCAATAGAGCTGTGAAAAATATAAAATGATAACTAGACGGTAGCTAAGAGCCTGTAGCTCACCTTATTGTTGTTAATGTAAAAGAAAATTATTTCATGGGCCAGTTGTAAATAGATCATGTATCCGACTCTAGAATGTGCAGCCAGCCACATGAACTGTGTAGAGTGACTTAGTCTAAAACCAGACAGTGCCGACAAACATTTAGTGGCTCAAGCTAATCTCTTTTTTTACAAAGCACATTTCTGTGTCTATCTTTTTAGACTTGTTTGTTCCTTTTTCTTTTTCACTTGACAACAGAATCATTCTTCTAATGTAACAAAAATAAGCATTTCCTCACACTTAAGGGGGCCCTATTCAGCCCCCAGGGAAAATCAAGATAAAAATATATGTGTTCTCATTGTAGAGTATACTTGTGAAATGAACAATGACCATTGACTATTGTTTGGCCTTTACGTCACACACTTCACTGTAGCAATAAGAAAGATAAAAAAGTTTCCACCAGCTGAAAAATCTGAGTTTACAAATTTAAAAAGATACATTAATTTGATTGAATAAGGTAAATTAAGTATTGCATAAAATGGACAAGGAATTCATTTACATACGAATTTCCCTACATGTAGTGTAAAGACAAATTTATGGTTAATAAATGTTAAGGTTGAAAGGTAAAGTCTACTTTTAAATGGGTCAATTTCTCTTTGCCTTATATAGGGTTAGCGAGGTTTTGACATTGTGCAAGCTCATGCTCTGCGGTTATACTGGGTCCCAGTAGAAGGCTGCCCACGTCTGCCAGGAAACACTGGAAGCAAGATGTGGCATCTCAGAAAGCGAACCTGTAAATCTTAAACCCATGGGTTAGCATTTGCTTAACTGTCTGCAATGTGATGAGATGAGCTGTTCCCCTTATTCATTCCTTCCTTTATTGAAAGATAAACAATTTTAAGACTCAAAATACTCTAATCAAAGTATTAAATAGGCTGATATTGTCGATCAGGTTTAAATATTTTGGGGTCTACCCCCTGCAGCCAATTCTTCAGCAGAGAGCCAGTCCCAACATAGCCACTCCAATGCCAAGTGCAGCATTCTGTGAGGGTCCCTTTCAATTAAAATTTTTGTTTGTTTTACATCAGATCTGGGTTTCAGACTGTCGTTCTAACAGATTTTCAACCCTGCCCCCATTTCTTTTGGGGAAAGCTTTTTAACATCCTTGATCAACCACTGAACTTGGCTTATGCAACCAAGAATGCAAACCATGAATTAAAATTGAGTAACAGAAAAGCAGCATACATCTCAAATTAGATTTATAACTGAATGGTAATCAAAAATAGAACTGACTGCTTCGAGCTTAAATTATCAACTTTTTTTCTTGTTAAACTAAAATCATCTTGCTCTGAACTATTATTTCTTTTCAGTCAGCACTTTAAATGCATTGGGTGGGTGGTACATTTCTTAAAAGGAAGATTATATTTACCCTTAATTATAGATATGAGTGAGATCAGAGTACAACGAATGCTGCTTTTCTGGTTTATAATTAATTCATCTAATAGGTGAATGACCTTGAATTTCAGAGTTGGAATTTGGGAGAGAGAAAAAATAAAAGAAATAGAAGGGAAAACATCTCTGGGGAAGGCAAATGCGCCCCTGGATTCTTAGGCTTTCTCTGATTTTGCGTCACTCCCATTACGTTGTGATCTGATATCAGACACAACATCTTGGGGGGATGTTGTAGAACAGAGAAAAGCAGTCTCAGATGAAACCAGATTAAGCTCATTTTCTGAACTATTGCCAAATGCTTGTGAGTCTAATTCATGTTTGGGTATTCTAATACTCACACAGCTGCAATTCCATTCTTTCATCACAAACCTAAGTGATGTATAGTGGCTTTGTGTGGCGAACTGACTCTATAAAGCCAGGAATTTTGGAAGGCTTTACATTAATATGAAAAGAAAATTCTGAACCATGTTAAATTTAAGAATACTGGATATATGTATAGGTACCTAATAGACTTTTCAGCGCTAAGCGCAAAATTCATACTGAGAAAAATTAAAAATTACATTTGTTTAAAACTCTTAAAAAAAAAAAGCACAACTGAGGTCATTTCTACATAGCTAATTCTGCACAGAATTGGGTTTTCAAAGACACTGCTGAATAAGATTCCTAACAGCCACGGGGAAGTTTTTGCAAATCCCTGTCGAATAGCTGCTGCTGAATTTGCCATTTTGACCACAGAAGGGCCATTGCTGACTTACTACAGTAGCAGGAGGGGACGATAATTTTGCTGCTGTTGGCACTTACTCTGCAACATAGAATATATCTTGCACCAAAGGGCAATGAAGAAGGCAGTATTTCCACCTGTCCACTTTTGAACTTCAAAGCTCAAAATGAAGGTCAGTCCATGGACAGTCTTTAGTCCTGAACCTGAAGTTCCCAGAATGCACCTTTTTTTGGTTTATTTTGATTTCTGTCCTATGCCTGATTTCAACAAAGGAGAACTGGGGACACTTAGAAAGATAAGATAACTTTCATAATCAGGGTCTTAACAGATTGTTATT